GACAACCACAGCTGCTCCAACCACAACTATAGCTGCTCCAACAACAACAACATCTGCTCAAACCACAACTACAGCTGCTCCAACCACAACCACAGCTGTTCCTGCTACAACAACCACAGCTGCTCCAACTACAACCACTGCTGCTCCTACCAAAACCACAGCGTTTCCAACAACAACCACAATCACAGCTGCTCCCACCACGAACACGGCTGCTCCAACCACAACCACAGATGCTCCAACCACAACCACAGCTGCTCCAACCACAACTACAGATGCTTCCACAACAACAACTGCAGTTCCAACCACAACTACAGCTGCTCTCACAACTACAAATGCAGTTCCAACCACAACCACTGCAGCTCCAAGCACAACTACAGCTGCTGTCACAACAACCACAGCTGCTCCAAGCACAACCACAGCTGCTGTCACAACAACCACAGTGTATCAAACCACATCCACAGCTGCTCCCACAACAACCACAGCTGCTCCAAGCAAAACCACAGCTGCTCCAAGCACAACCACAGCTGCTCCAACCAGAACTACAGCTGCTGCCACAACTAAAACTGCAGTTCCAACCACAACCACTGCAGCTCCAACCACAACCACAGCTGCTCCAACCACAACTACAGCTGCTGCCACAACTACAACTGCAGTGCCAACCACAACCGCTGCTGCTGCATCCACAACCACAGTTGCAGCAACCACAACAGCTGCTGCCGCAACTACCACAGCTGCTCCAACCAAAACCACAGCTGCTCCAAGCACAACCACAGCTGCAGCCACAACAAACACTGCTGCTTCAGTCACAACCACACCTGCTCCCACAACAACCACAGCTCCTGCCACAAAAACCACTGCTGCTTTAACCACAAAAACAGCTGCTCCAACCACAACTACAGCTGCTTCAACCACAACTACAGCTGCTGCCACAACTACAAATATTGCTCAAACCACAACCACAGCTGCTCCAAGCACAACCACAGCTGCTGTCACAACAACCACAGTGTATCAAACCACATCCACAGCTGCTCCCACAACAACCACAGCTGCTCCAAGCAAAACCACAGCTGCTCCCAAAACAACCACAGCTGCTCCAAGCACAACCACAGCTGCTGCCACAACTAAAACTGCAGTTCCAACCACAACCACTGCAGCTCCAACCACAACCACAGCTGCTCCAACCACAACTACAGCTGCTGCCACAACTACAACTGCAGTTCCAACCACAACCGCTGCTGCTGCATCCACAACCACAGTTGCAGCAACAACAACCACAGCTGCTGCCGCAACTACCACAGCTGCTCCAACCAAAACCACAGCTGCTCCAAGCACAACCACAGCTGCTCCAAGAACAATCTCAGCTGCTCCCACAACAACCACAGCTTCTCCAAGCACAACCACAGCTTCACCAAGCACAACCACAGCTGCTCCGAGCACAACCGCTCCTGCTCCAACAACAACCGCAGCTGCTCCCAGCACAACAACAGCTGCTGTCACAACAACCACAGTGTATCAAACCACATCCACAGCTGCTCCCACAACAACAACAGCTGCTCCAAGCACAACCACA